ACAGTTTGATGCTCCTGGTATGTCGTGCAAGACTTAACTCACACTGAAGTCTTCCTTTAACATTCCTTCACTCAAATTAAGTGTTCATGGGGCTCCTCAAGAGGATGCAGCTGAGGTGAAACATTCTTTTCAGGGCTGTAACTCATGAACAGCTTCTTAAGCACTTCTTTCCAAACAGTGTTTTGCAGACCTCAGTCTTTTGTCACACATATAAGTACTTAAAATTCCCTGTCCATTGCCTTTCTTGCAGCACACTTTGTCTTGTCACAGCAGGAGAAGCACAGGTGTAACTAATAACATTAATGATGGCTCCGTTCATATTAGGTGCATCACTATGGCCTTGAACTTAACTGGAAGACTTAAATAGATTGGAGCTGTGAGGGATTTAAGTTTTAAAGCGTTCCTAATTATGGATATTATGTGATACAGTGTATGTACTTGTAGGAGTTTGAACCAAGTAGTGTGTTTGAGTGTCTGTGTGATCAGGTTTGAGGAATGTGCTGGAGGCGAAAGTGGCTGGGTGAGGCGTTAAGATCAGAACAATAGGTCAACGGCCCAGGAGGGGCTTATTGGATTTCAGCCAATCATTGAGCTGATCGATATGTAATGTGAGACTTTTCAGAGACTTTGGGGGAAAAAGGAGATATGAATCCCGGAGAGATTCAGACCTCCTCGGTACCATGGGGCAGACACAACTGTCTGTCGTGTGGCCCGGATGGGGCCTCACTTTCATTTTATATATATATATATATGTGTTTGTTTTGTTATTAATAGTGTGATTCTGTTTGATTTGGTTTGTAACTGTTTTTATGTTTGTATGGATAATAAATCCATTTGATTATAACTTAAACCTGCTGTTGTGTTTTGGAGGCGATTGAGAGCACATGGCTGCAGGAAGGGGGGCGATTTCTCCCAGTGTTCAAAAGTTATGGCCCTAACAGAGCCAATATTTATGCTATTAATTACAGTTATGTTTGACAAGTCAAAATGTCTGTTGTGCTGCTGAGAAAGCTCCTTTATGTCCAGACACTCACACAACACTCACATCTGTCACTACATTGCTTTATCTGCACAGTTTGGTTTTACTTGGAAAGTCCAGAAACTGTAAACATCTCAAGGCAAGCCACAGGAAACACACACAGGTTTATCAAGTAAAACACACACAGGTTTATCAAGTAAAACACACACAGGTTTACCATTGTTGCAGGCAGGCAATGATAGATCTACTTGCTCAAAAATAATAGAAACCTCAGGCCTGGCAAACTGGGGCCTATCCCTGTGGTTTGACAGAGGAAGGATAGGCTAGGTCAACTCACCGAGGTCGAGGTTTCAGGTCATGGCTTTTTATTCGCATGCTGGCTTGGTGTCACCATGGTGCAGCTTCGTGGGCTTCACTAGACCAGCTAAGTCTTTGTTGGTAGTTCAGTGTCCATGTGTCTCCCAGGCATTTTTCGGTAGTTGCCTCCTTTCTCAATACTTTTTTCACAGCAGATATTTTGACTTTCCATAGCAGGAAAAGCACAAGTGTTACTAAAAACATTAACGATGGCTCTGTTGTATTCAAGTGTCCCAGTAAACAGTTACAGTGAGCAAACATGCAAAATACCAGGACGCCGATACTGTAGCCGCTAAAAAGAATCATGAGTTTTAAAGTTTAAACACCATTTTTCTTTTCTGCAACATGTCAAATGGCTTCCATGAAACCCTAATTAAGACCAAAATGGACAAACCCCCCCCCCCCCCCCCCCCCCCCCCCGATGTCTCCCATCAAGCCATCAATTAAGAATGCCTTTAATAGCCTCTCAGCTAATTATAACTGAGTTTGTATCTACCTTTTTAAAAACCACAAAGCCCTTTGAAGTAGAAATAAACTGAACATTGTCCTATAAATATGTCTGTCACACTGTGTAACAAAATGTTAAGTTAATGTCTAGTCATGGTGCTGGTGGTTAGTGAGATCCATTACATTAAGAAAGTTTATTTAAACAGTTTATAACTTCTGGAAAATTCTACATTATCATTATTATAAATTGTATTGTTTCAGAGAATGAAAGGCGTGTGTGATGTGTGAAAACATTGGTTTCTATGTCAGCCTGCACACCTGGGGCTTCATGATTCCTGTCAACTTTTCATGATAGTCCACTGTACTATTCCCAAGCATTGATGAAAGCAGTTTTATCACATTCCCTCCCCGGGGTGGTCATTTCCTGGTTGCTGTACCTTCGCAAATGCATTCAGTGTGTCGTTTGAGAGCAGATATTGATTTAATATGAACCGTGTTCAAAAGAGCAGGAACAAAGCTTTCACAAAAGTTTTTTCAGGAGTTGACAAATGAACTGGAGGCTACTGTGAATCAAGCCATCATGTACAATATCATTTGCACTGCATTTTAACTGCATAGTGAAAGAGATCTTCATGGCTTTCACAACTAACCACCTGTCACTGTTCAGAGTGACACCCCAATGTCAGATTCAGTTCAATCATCATTTACTCTATGCTATACACCAGCTGACAGGTTGGCTTTGTCAACTCACACAGGATCTAATTCACTTTCATGAAATAACTGTGGTTTAAGATTAACCTCAGTCACAAAGTATTAGTATGAGAACCACAAAGTTTGAAGCTTCAGAAAGAAAATTAACCTCCACATCTGCTAATTGAATTTGTTATTGAACAAGTCTCTGAACATTATGCAAATTTTAAAAAAAGATAACAAAAATAATCATTTTTAAACCAGTATAGAGATTGCAGCAAATGACTTTAGTCTACAACGTATATTTAGTGTATGAACAGATGCAGCGTGACAATCCCTTCTCAATCTGAGAGGAATGTAATCTACAAAGGCTTTCTGACAGAACAAACATCTTTGCAGCATGTTGCATCTCCTCAGATTCGGAGGCTTGAAGAGACCCCATATCAGGGATTGCTTTCAAATTGATGGCCATGGCTTCCCTAACAGGGGCAGATACCGTGATGTAAATTGTTACAAACGGCTGCGAGGAGAATAGAAGAAATGCAGTTTTGATTCAGCCACTGTCAGCGGTCTTACTGTAGGAGATGCTGCCATTGTGTGATTTCCAAACATTACTTGCAAACACAGAAAAGGATCCATTCAGTGTTCTGTTGATATAAAAACCAGTGGCAACGATAATAAAATAAGTGTTTTCGTTCGAGACGGCTAGAAGCAGTAAATTATTTTAACCACCAGAAATAAACATGTGTGTTTTGCTTGCAACAGTGCTAAGCAAAATGGACAGCTTTCTACTACTTTCCTTCTCCACCGCTGTGGTGGGTAAGAGGCTGTTCTAAAAGAGACTGAGCTGCCAAGTGGTGTGACACAGACCAGCAGACCGGCACTTCTAAGACATATGCAGTAGACATGGATGGCTGTGCAGCAATTGCCTTATTTAGTGGTGCAGATCCATGCTTGATCTCTGAGCAAAATAGCACTTCTTCTTTAGAAACAGGACATGGCGTCCAACACATTTTCAACTCAGCAACGAGTAGATTCAGTGTTTACTGATTTAACACTGTTCCAGTGATGTTTATTTGAATATATTCAATGCTTTTTTATATTTTTGTTCCTTATTCATGCATTCATATAGTTATATTTTCAAATCGAATAAAACATTCCTGACAAAAGCAACGCCACGGACTAGACTGCACTATAAAGCAGCAGAGACAAGCTGCTGCATACCTATTATTTAGCAGTGCTAACCTCTAGAGTAAAATAATAGTTTAATTCAACCAAGATGAATAATTGAACAACCCCAGGTTCAGAAATTAACATTCCAAGTGTTTTAGTTTAGCATGTCTGGAAGGATTACGTCTGAATGCCCCCTCTATTCTACTACTTTACTTATTCAAAACCAATTGAATGTGACAATATACTTTCATGTATTTTTTAAATAACATTAGTTTTACATTTCAGACTACCAATAGATTGCAAAACCAGTGACATTTCCAGAACATCTCCCATGTCATGTTATTCTCAAAAAGAAAAATACACCCACGGAAATAAACATGCTTTGTTACTATGGGTTGTTGGTGGTAAATGCATTTTTGTGTATGACGTGTTGTTATTTATCTTTTGTTGTATCAAAAGGATGGCTCACTGTGAAACTTTGTATCCTCGCTCAATATGTTATCATGACCTTTTGCACTGCAAGTCATGTGAAAGTGCTTCCTGTTGCTGATATTGTCCACCCCATTTGGTCAGGCTCACTGCGTCCACACATTGAATCAAATGTGTTCACTTGCGTGATTTAGCAATAAAGACATTTTGAAGTTGAAGGCCTCTCTGTAGTTTTTACATGTTTTGAAAAAAGCCCCAAACAGGGTTGTCTATTTAGATATCTGCTGCCATTAACTGTGGATTGGGAGGTCAAAAAACGATATTATTACTGCTATGGTTTCCTGACAGATTGACAACGATGTTACAGGCGACAAATGAAAGTCTGGTACTGAAATGACTGTGTTACTGTGTTCATACTCTATGTTACAGTATGAATGGTTTATTAATCCATTTTGAATAGCAAGAAAGAGACAGCAGCACATAATGACACTTTGATAGAGGTCAACTTGATGTTATAATATGCAACATTTGAGTTGATCTCAATTTTGGTGACTCCTTTGGTGATGAGCTGTCATTCCACTGCATTTCAATGGTCTGACAGCAGCTTTTAACATAAATTAGCACGAATGGTTGTTCTGTGGCTGAAGGGACTGAAAATAATGACAGAATTAAAGTTTGTGCTGTACAGTGACCATGTCTACAGAGAGATAAATGTTTAAGATTATACATATTTAACATAATTTTGTTTGTCTGTAATTTAAAAGGAATTGGTGAAAATTAATCAGTTTCTCTTTCCTTAAATTCTACTAAGGATTTGTTTCTTTATTTCTTTATCTATTCAGCAACAAGCCCGTTGGTGCTCCTACCCAAATACTCATGGCTAATATGAGATTAGTAGCAGTATGGCTGTGGGTTTTTGCAATGTAAGACATTTCTGATCACAGGTAACTTATGTAAAACCTTTAACAAGCTGGGAAGTGATAGACACGGAAGTACGTTGCAAAAACAAGATAAATATCTCATAATTACTGAATCAAAATGCTTGGATTTACAGGTAATTATGAGCTGTGGTGGAGGTAATTGAATTAAGGAATATAAACAAATTTAGATATTTAAAAGTTGCTCATTATTACAATAGCCTGCATTGTTTATGACAAAACACTATTGCTCAGTTGTAGTTTTTTTCCTCATTAAAATTTGACAGTCATAAGTTTCATCATAAGCATGTTGTGTTGCTTGTAAACATTATACTGTAAGGAAGACGTTTGCAATGAAGCTACATTAATGAAGCAAATACATCACCACTGACTAAAGCAGGCCAAAAACCCCTAAGACATATTATATTGAATTTGAAAGTCACTTTGTATTATCAATAACAATAAGTTCCTACAATTCCTCATCTCATATTACCAAAATAATTGTCACTTGCCAGCAAAAATCATATTATAATTAGTTTAAAGGAAAATATAATAGTTTATTTCAACCCGAGTCCTGTTTTTTAATAAGAGCAATAAAAGTACATCTAGCCAAGTAAAAGGGACAAAATGTAGTGAAGTAATGACATTGATTGATTGCTTGTGAGAACAAAGAAATGAGGCTCAGGTCGAAATAAACAAATTATCCTTTAAAGACACAACAAATAATATGGTCACCACTTGACAGAGATAGAGACACACATTGTACTGTACATTCATACAAAGCACATACATTATTACAGAGAAATATGAAAACAGATTGATCACCAGACACAAATATTTAACCAACTTCAATATTAGGATTATAGACGACATCTTAAAAATGCATGACACTGAAATGCACAAACTTGTTTTTCTTCACATTCTTGAGTAAATACTTTCATGAAGTCTTCTAACATTCAGAACTGTTGGTAAGAATAATTAAGGACATCTATAATGTGTTTCGATGGTCAGTCTAGAAGATTTGAGCTTACATTTTCTTCCAAACGTGACAAAATGAACGTCTTTTGAACCTTTTGACATTTGTTGTATCTGTCATCACAAAGTGCAACTAGTAGGACACTGCACACATTGTTCTTTAAAATATTTCTTTCAACAAACCAAAACACTGATGATGAAAGAAGTCAAACAACTTATTATCATGTTTAGTTCCTCGCAGTGAGTCAGAGGGGATACATATGGTTTAGATAATCCTGTCACAGTATGGTTCCACTCATATTATAAAACCAACACGGCACAAGCTACCATATTGCTTGGTGCAGATTCAACACTTGAAAAAGCAACAAGCAGGGATTTAAATAAAGATTCAACACAGGAAAGCAGCATGCTGGAAGAAACTACTGAAACACCAACAACTGCAAAAGGCAAACACTGGGCATTTAAAAAAAACATTCTAGAACAGTAAAACAGAGGTTGTGCGGCTTCCTTTATTCTTTCCTTCACTTGGTTGCAAAGTGACGGTCCTTGTTGGTCAGTTCGCTTTCAGTCTGCACATTCTCCAGCAGCCTGTTTATTAGCGTGCTGCAAATACTGGATTTCGCCTCTGGCTTTTTGCCAGTTACAGAAAGCATGTTCCTTACAACCGTTACATAACTGAAATCCTAGCTCAATTTCAATACTTTCAGAGCCAAACTCAAAGCCACATATAGAGCCAAATGGTGTTCGATCAACAGCTATTCCATTGGCAGCTTTCTGCAGCCGCTCATTCGAGGCTTCGGGGGGGAAATAGATGCAGAGTGCATCCTCTGCATCACAAAGTTCACAGTTATTACTTACAGATGGAATTAAAAACTATGACATACTTACATAATTACAACCACCATGGTGTTTTTTCATATCAACTCTATTGTGAGATGGTCTCACACTCCCAGCAGCGAATCTCCCAGCAGAACTGATTCATTTAATTATCAATCATTTCAACTGTGGGACCGAGACCTTAATTAAACAGCAGTGCACTGGGTGTGTTGAAATGCTAATCCCAATCAGAGCTGAATTACTGTAATGAAACAGCTACTTGCAGTATTTAATTTATGCAAATATACCTTTATTGGATAGGAAGAAGACTTTAACATATTTAGATCATCAAACTGTACAAGTTCAGAATTCTTCACCTTGACAACATACAAGGCTGCTCCCGAACTGTAAATGTAAAGCACCACCCACCACAGCCACAGTCGCTATCAGTCACATTTTTTTTCTGGGCTATTTTGCAGGTTAACCATGACTCTACAGCTATGCTCTTGGTTGAGAACTAAACTTCAGTGACGAGAGGCAGTAGGAATCTTTACCAAAGCATCCGGCCAAAGCAGAGGCCTGTTGCACCAAGCTAGAATTTCTAACGAGATGATTTTGAGACGTCTCACTAATTAAAAACAAACAGACCTGCAAGCAAACAAACAGAGATGCATGAGGATGGAAGAGCCCTTTGGGACTCACAAATGTATTTGGAATTTGAAAGCAATGATCCTTTGTGTGATCCTTTGCTGCCACTTGCAACAGCATCTAAATACTGCTCGCAATCCGCTTTTGTGAAAGAGGCTCCGGTTCCACACAGACACTCACAACATAATACAAGACACAACACCTGTTTGAGAAACTGCTGGAAAAAACCTGTGACGCATGCTGTATTTTCTTAAAGCAGAGCTATTCTGCTGTGAAACATATTTAAACTGCTACACTTGTCTTGGTGTTTACCACAGCTGCTTTAACACTCTAAGCTTTAATGCTATTATGTCGGGAAAAATGAACAAACATTCAATAAAAATAAATTCGGCTATCAGCTGATTCCAAATATTACAAAATCAGGTCTAAATAAACCAAACATATGTGCACCATTTGTATGTACAGTGCATTATGCATCTGTGTACATTTCTTGCACGCATACAGTATGTCTCTGAAAACACCCTTCAAGAAAACTCCTCGGGTTGAGTGCCTGGAGCCTCTCCATTCTGCGTTTTCGCACCATCAACACTGCATCCAGTGATCTCCGCGTGGCGAGACGTGATGTAGCTTCTCTTCCTGGCCGACAGGGACTGCTTCCTTCCAGAGCTGCCATCGCCCTCGGCGGGGTCGTAGACCAACACCATGGTGGTATCCATTCGTGACAGCGTGTACATGCTGCTTTGGCATGTCGGATGTAGACGCGTGGAGCGTAGTTCCAACTCGTCGTAGCTGGATACCTTGATGAACGGGCACCAACGAAACGCTCGCTTGAAGCCAGCTCGAAACCTGGTGCCACATGAATAGGGAGTGGGGAAGGATTGCAAAACAAAGTGTTTGTTTGGAAAAAAAAAGGGAGAATTGAAAACATAAAAAAATGGGTCTAATGGGTCCAATTGGAATCCATGCCTAACTTTTTTAATCTTCCAGTAAAAGATATAATGAAATGTAACAGCACTCAGTGATGTGTTCTAACAAAATCAATCATTTAGCAGCCCTGTAAAACTACGTTCAGTTGCAACATTTAGTTTTTTAGATTGTCATAACACCCTGTTGTAACCCACCTGCTATTAAGGCAGCAGTAGATGATAGGGTTGTACATGGTGGAGCTCATTGCCAGCCACAGCACTGACAGGTAGACCTGCTGGATGTACTTCCATTTGCTCAGACGCTTGTTGAGACCCGTCACAATGAAGTAGACGTGATAAGGCAGCCAGCAGAGGGCAAAAGTCACTACTACGATGATCATCATCTTCACCACCTGAGAGAGAGAGAGCCAGAGCGAGAGCGAGAGCGAGAGATGACAAGAAACATTCACAAGCTGTCACTGTTGAGAGAGACAGAGTGAAAGATCGCAGTGCGTAAGCCGGAGGACGTTACACGGAAAATAAAAAAAACAGTCAACGTCTCTGAAACTGAAGAATATGTGTGGGGTGGGGGGAATGTGGAGCATTTCATTTCAGTCCATTTCTGAATTACAGCATTTTGGTAGCACCTGGTACTGCAGGAACAGCTCTGCAAGACTTGAATAGAAATCGGGACAGTATGTTCTAGTTCCTTTGATGTTATTACCAAATGAAATGAAATGAATCCATAATACTATGTGGCTCTTCAGAGGAAGGCTGAGGCACGCTACCAGAGACAAAACAGACATCATTGGGACCCTCCTGAAATCCAAACAGAAGTCCTGGCACCCCAAGTTTATGACATAACATAAGCCGTACTGTAAACTATGGTGGCTGCTAAACAGTGGTGAAGCAGTTAGTCAGTATTTTGGGTGGAGGATAAACTAAGGCTTGTATTTTCTCAAGAGGATACAAGTCGAGCTTGAAAATGAAGTGAGAAGACTAACTGGAAGACGTAAGGACCAAAGTCAGTTGCACGTGAAATGCTCCGTTCCCAAAGAACAGCCTGGACTCCTAAAACTTGTGTTCCCATACAACAAAACTGTATTGTCAATTACGAATCGAGGGAAACATACAGTTTTGTGAAAAAGTGTTTGCCCCCTTCCTGATTTCTTATTTTTCTGCATGTTTGTCACACTTAAATGTTTCAGATCATCAAACAAATTTAAATATTAGACAAAGATAACACAAGTAAACACAAAATGCAGTTTTTAAATGAAGGTTTTTATTATTAAGGGGGAAAAAAATCCAAACCTACATGGCCCTGTGTGAAAAAGTGATTGCCCCCTAAACCTAATAACTGGTTGGGCCACCCTTAGCAGCAACAACTGCAATCAAGCGTTTGCGATAACTGGCAATGAGTCTTTTACAGCGCTGTAGAGGAATTTTGGCCCACTCATCTTTGCAGAATTGTTGTAATTCAGCCACATTGGAGGGTTTTCGAGCATGAACCGCCTTTTTAAGGTCATGCCACAGCATCTCAATCGGATTCAGGTCGGGACTTTGACTAGGCCACTCCAAAGTCTTCATTTTGTTTTTCTTAAGCCATTCAGAGGTGGACTTGCTGGTGTGTTTTGGATCATTGTCCTGCTGCAGAAGCCAAGTGCGCTTCAGCTTGAGGTCACGAACAGATGGCCGGACATTCTCCTTCAGGATTTGTTGGTAGACAGCAGAATTCATGGTTCCATTTACCACAGCAAGTCTTCCAGGTCCTGAAGCAGCAAAACAGCCCCAGACCATCACACTACCACCACCATATTTTACTGTTGGTATGATGTTCCTTTTCTGAAATGCCGTGTTACTGTTATGCCAGATGTAATGGGACATACACCTTCCAAAAAGTTCAACTTTTGTCTCGTCAGTCCACAGAGTATTTTCCCAAAAGTCTTGGGGATCATCAAGATGTTTTCTGGCAAAACTGAGACGAGCCTTTATGTTCTTTTTGCTCAGCAGTGGTTTTCGTCTTGGAACTCTGCCATGCAGGCCATTTTTGCCCAGTCTCTTTCTTATGGTGGAGTCATGAACACTGACCTTAATTGAGGCAAGTGAGGCCTGCAGTTCTTTGGATGTTGTTCTGGGGTCTTTTATGACCTCTTGGATGAGTCGTCGCTGCGCTCTTGGGGTAATTTTGGTCGGCCGGCCACTCCTGGGAAGGTTCACCACTGTTCCATGTTTTCGCCATTTGTGGATAATGGCTCTCACTGTGGTTCGCTGGAGTCCCAAAGCTTTAGAAATGGCTTTGTAACCTTTTCCAGACTGATAGATCTCAATTACTTTGTTTCTCATTTGTTCCTGAATTTCTTTGGATTGCAGCATGATGTCTAGCTTTTGAGGATCTTTTGGTCTACCTCACTTTGTCAGGCAGGTCCTATTTAAGTGATTTCTTGATTGAGAACAGGTGTGGCAGTAATCAGGCCTGGGTGTGGCTAGAGAAATTGAACTCGGCTTTCCAAAGATGTGATAAACCACAGTTAATTTATGTTTTAACAGGGGGGGGGGAGCAATCACTTTTTCACACAGGGCCATGTAGGTTTGGATTTTTTTTTCCCCTTAATAATAAAAACCTTCATTTAAAAACTGTATTTTGTGTTTACTTGTTATCTTTGTCTAATATTTAAATTTGTTTGATGATCTGAATCATTTAAGTGTGACAAACATGCAAAAAAATAAGAAATCAGGAAGGGGGCAAACACTTTTTCACACAACTGTATATTCTCCCGGATTATGTTTGTTTTTGACGTATTGTGTCCCATGTGAGATGACAAGTCAACATTGACTTATTTTAATGCCTTAATCATTATTTTTATTACAGTCAATAATAAATCCCGAAACCAAAAATGCATCAGTCCATCTCTCAATACTCTGACCTCCTTACATTGTTTGTGGCACCTAGCCCTGAGCCCCTTTGTTCCAGTTGTAAATCTGAAAAAACAGGTCACAAAAATTTACTTTCCCTTTTTTTAAATGACACAGTGGTTTCCTAAAGTTTTACTGCTGGTCACTGTGCTGTTACTCAAACAGGAGACAACTGTGTCTTTGCTGGGGACTATTTTCAGTAACATATTAACCCACACACACACACGCATGCACACACACTTGATAGGAGGCATTTATGGTAACAGGACAGTGTATGGGTACAGACATTTTCAAAAAGCTGTCCCATCATTACGACAGACATCTTAAGTTCTCAATTGGCTGAATATGTAATACAAAAACAAAAAGACACCCTTCCCCAAGTTATTTACTGTAAAATCCAGTCATCGTGGCCACGATTTTGAGCATGATAAAAATAAAAAAAATCCATATAGTCTCTTTCTCACACAGCTACATAAACAATATTGAAAGTATATCCTGTGAAGCTCATGCAATGTTTTATATGCACTATTGGACTGTCTTAAGGGTTGTGAACTACAAAAAACTCTGACATGTAGCAAAGTTATGTCTCCCTGCAGCCCATTTTTCAACATGGCGGATATGGAGAATGTCAGAGTATATATTTCCAACAATGTCTTGTGTCATATTATATAATATTGTTGATGGCAACAGTATGGCTGTAAGTTATACAGTTGCAAACTGAACTGAGCCTTGTAAGTAGAAAGCCTGACTAGTGCACAAATAGAGCCGAACAATATCGAAAAAAATGGAGAGTACAGAGTTTTTGTATCGTTTGCAGTATGCTACACCATGACATTAATAAAAACAAACGAGGTAACAAAACAGGAAAATAGAAAAGAAAACATTCCACATTAAAATGCGGTCTTCCACCAAAATATGAGTTTGATAAGGATGTAAAAGATGATACTGATTATAATAGCCTGAGATTATAAGGGAGGGTGTTGGAAAATTGAGGAAACCAGATCTCGCCACGCTTCTTAATCCCTAGCTGCACTGTGGCTTGCAGGGGGCCATATATTTAAACTATAATTATTTCGAAAATTAATCAGAAATTCAATCTAAATTGTATTCAATATATTATAGACAGACAGTGAAATCAGGCAAAAATGGAAGTTGTGTTTTTTTATTTCAAGAATTGTAAAAAAAGAAAGAAAAAAGCCTTGAGTTTAACTTACATTTCTTAGTTAGAGTTCCAATGTGATTAAGATTGCTGTCTGACTAAATGTTATTTATATGTATCAACAAACTCAATACCAATACCTTCAAGGGTGTTGAAACAGAGGGAAATAACCTAAGTATTAATGGGTGCAAATAGAATAGTCTTAGAACAAGAACTAAAACAAGCTGAGTATTAAACGTAATAGTAAGAATATTAGAAGAAATGGAGGCGAGGGTATTCCCATGTTTAACGTGAACAGAAAGCTTTACATCATCATCATAGACATGTAAATTCATACATAGGTTGGCCTATAGAAGGAAAATAAAATTGTTCCTTGAGTTACACCACAATGGCAAGGGTGGCAGGTACATAAAAAAGCTACTCACATTACAACACAAACTTCTACCAACGAGGTAAACCAATAAATAGCTGCACTCTTAACACTAATCCTTTATTTAAGATGGTCATAATAAGATAATATGATCCCACCCCATTGGCATAAAGGTTGTGTGGATTTGCAATGAAATAGTTCAGCAGTTTTAATGTTTTTTGTGTGTGTGTGTATGTGTCTCTCTCTAACAAACACACAAAGTAAGGAGGGCCCCAACAGAAAATCTTGCATAGGGCCCCCTGTTGTCTAGTGTCAGGCCTGACTGCACGCTATAAGAGACAATTTAGTGCCATAAACCAAAAAAAGCATTCAAAAGGAAACAAAACTTTTTAAATAAGCCTAAAAATAAAACAAACAAACAAACGAGGGTGTTTTTTTTATTATATCTTGAGCAATGGGGTGTTAAGTAATTAGGAAATGCTTATGCTCAGTTCTAAAAATCAAGTGGATTCAAGGAACTGGGTAAAAGATGCACTGATGACTGAAACTTAAAGCCTGAGAATGTGGCCATAAGAGGTAGTAACCAGCTGCAAAATATTTGTATGAAATACTTTGCTAGTTTACAATGACAAAACTAGATTAAAAAAAACTTGTGCAAAGCGGGACAAATAGATTATTGTAAATCCTGTTTTTAAGTCCTTGTTAAGGGGACTAGGTAAGCTGCAGCACATTCAGAACACAGAAGGTTGTAGAAAGAAGTATAGTCACATAACTCCTGTTGTTAAATTACATAATTGTTTCCCATGAAATTTAGAATTGAATATAAACTCCTACTCATAGACAAAGCTCTGAATATTCTGGCACAATACACTATATTTCCAACATAGCCATGAATGGCTTTCCAGATCACTCAAGTCATCTGGTGCTGGCCTTTCAAAAATATTAAGAGTCATCTCCAAAACTAGAGAAGC